TCTTAAAAATAACAAAAATGGACATTATATTAATTAGTTAGAAATTCTGCCACTATAGAACTTACATTGAACTTCTTATCATTTGCAAGTATTATTTTCTTTCAACCGGAAAAAATATAAATTGGATGAAAATTTTACGTAAATCAATATAAAAATCTCATATGCGCGCGATGAATTAATTTTTAACTTAAAATATGATGAACGCTTTATTTCATTACATGATTATGATGAAGATTATGATTTAATTATTATTTCATTACGTTGTTCAAATATAATTCCTCAGAACTGAGGTCTCATAGTTGCGCTTAAAAACAGATAATCGCGTAACGTTCAGAGAAATTTATTAGATATTGTACCATAATTACTGAATCAATTTACACAGAATTAAATATTTCGCCAATTATTATGTTTTAATGTCATAACTGTGATCTTCGCCTTAATTTAAAAACAAATCTTTCCTTCTCGATAATTTCTACGCATACATGCATTTCTAGCTCCATCTTTTTCTTGTATGTATCATCTTACAAGCGAATACGTTATCGTATCGAGTGAGTGCTTTCGTGCAAAAAATTCCCAAAGTAATAAACTTAAAAAAGAGAACAATACATTTCACGGATGTCCCAATTATAACAGGAGAGAAAAAAAAAACACTATTGCTACCTGCGAAAGTGGCACAATCTACCCATCTAAGGAAAGTAGGGCTCCTCACTAACTGTAATCACCCGGACAAAAGGGCCGAAACATTAGATACCCCTGTACCGTGTCATTAGACCGGCAATTTCCACGAGACCCTTCCATTCGCTTTGGAACTACCAGCGGACCGTGTCTCAGTTAAATGGTCGCTAACCACGAATCTTCGTTCTCGGTGGCGGGGCAGTTTCTCCCAATTACGCCGTCTCTAGCCGGCGATTGGCCGCATCACAAGAATCCGCTGTCGTGACTGTGTAGACGAAAAAAACGACACAAAACTGACGCAAATCGCCGATACGCCGCGTGCACACAATTTCATGCTCCGGCCTCATAGAACAGTCTAGATTCGTCATAACTCAATGACAATGGCTGCTGGCAAATAAAACGGAGTCGAGCGCTAGTCTCTGGAACATCACTAGCCCGATTCGCAACAGATCGGATAAATTGATGACGTCTCAGCGTCGGCGATAATGGCCGTTACAAAAATCCATTCGTCTGAACCAATCCGTGTCATTGAATTCGATCGCATTGTTCTAATTGATGTTTTATAGCCCGCTCTTTTCGGAGCTCCAACGGAGCGGTACAGCACTGACGGTGATCCGGTCCGCTATCTCTCGTGTTTAAAGACCATAAGAGATACGCCACGCCATTTAATAATTCAATTGGGATTTGACGCTTCACGTTCGGCTATCACAAATCGGACATTCGATTGATGTTCGGCGAAACGGTCCGTTCTTAATTTGAAATTTAATAGAACGTAATTTCGAATATTGGAATGGAAAATGTTCAGAGATTGAATATTGTGGAGAAACAAATGAACGGGTGAGCCCGATTGTGGGGTCTATATTAGGAATAAATGACGCAGTGCTTTCTTAAAGGCACGCTTAATCATATTTCCATTACCGGTAGCCTGTTAGGTTACGTATAGGATTATAATGTAATTTATGGGTGATAAAGTATATTCATATGAGAGGCGCCCGGCGGTGTGGAGACAATGACGTCGGATCGACCAGTCATCGACATTCGGTTCGATTTGTTGCGGTTTTTTTGGCTTGGTACAATAAAGACCTCCCCAATCACATAGACTATAACTTTCTATAAAAAGCACAAAATAGATAAACTACTATGTTCAGGGTGGGCTCTACAATAGCTAGATTGATTAATTCAGCGCAATCCAAAGAAACAATTTTAAGACATTAGAGAGCTTTTCTTACAATCCATCTTCAAATCTTTCTTCAATTTCAGTGTATTTTTCAACAAGAATATTAATACTTGAATGAATTCAATTTACATGTCTCTCAATAATAATGGCCGACGGTTTCACCATCCATACGAATTAATCAAAATTTGTTTCTTATGTATCTAAAACATATACATACTTTTAAAAGGCAATATGGAAACAGAAAGAGATAAGGTAACAGGAAAAAGAATGCTTAATACGGTTTTCTTTGAATATTATTATAATATTTGTCCAAAGACTCACTAAATAATTAAATCACTAATTGACTCACTTAATCGTGTAACCTACTCACCTTGCCTAATCTATAGGCAATTGGTATGTGAATGATGCTTATAAATATTCAGTCTTTAAGTTGTTGGTGTTGTAGTTTAAGTTGACAAAGTGCAAAGTATTCAACATGCATCGCACACTTATAGTTATGTATACCTGGATGCGTATAAGCATCCAGGTATACATAACTAGAAAAATTAAAAATCTCAAAGTACGAGACCGATAAACAACGCGTGAAAAAAAAATAACGATCGGATAGTGGGCAGCCCTAGCGCGCTAGTGCTGTGCCGCCCCGGCTATGGCGACGTCGGCTTATCTCCGGGCGATTCGCTGCGGCCGGGGACGCGGCGCGTGACGGGCGGCGATTAGAAATCACGGCCCGGACGATTCCGGCCGCCGCCGCCGTCTCTATTAAGCGACCGTCGTGGTCCGGCAAGTTTGTCCGTTCTTAACCAACAGCCCGGTCGGAAACTAATAAATTTACCTTAAACTTGGATGACTTAAATAAAATAAATAAGATGCCGAATACATCGGTTTATTTATTAACATTACCTGTCTCTGTAAACGAAAAGTGTCGAAAGTTCTATCGATTGGGAATAAGCTAGTTATGTGACTTTACAATTACTTTAAAAAAGATTAGAATCATTTCATGATTCCAATTTTCACTTTTATTTAATTTCAAAGCACGTAATAGTTAATTTCCTTAATAGAAGTAAGTGGTCACAATTTTGTCAAAATGAAATTTCAAATTCAATTGGTTGACATTTATTTATCGATAGAATAAAACTTGTACGTTTGAAATTAGTTTGCATTATCATAAATTCAATGAGCTTTAGCTGACTGTGTTTGTGTAAAATCATAAATAAGTGAACTCAATGCTATTTAAATTCTAACTGATGACTCATAGAGCAATCGTTATACATAATAACAATAGTCATATAATAGTGACAAAAACAAACCTTAAATCTAGATTTTTAAATAAAGCGATATTAATAAATTATTGAATAATGGAATATTAAATACATTGTTACTGAATACAAATAATTCCACACCGCATGTCTAATCTGTGAAAGGTATATGACGGCTTGTTCCTTTTTACTCAAATTTTAAACCTTTGATAACTTTGTGATATCACCGATACTTTTATCATATCTGAAAATGTTATAAAACGGACCAGCGAATTCCATTTAACATAACAAATAACTTTCAAGGGCAAAAAAAGCAAAAAGATTTAGGTAAAAACGGGAAGAAACACCAATGGCGATTACACAAATGGTTACAGCGGCCATTACGTGGAAATAAATAATGTAAATGAATCGAGAAGCCGCGCGGGGCGGATGCGACCTTGGCAATGAAATTCACGGGTTCAAAAGTTCAAACAGAACACGTTGATTCAAACAATTCTTTCTTTAACGATCGCTATGAAGAATGTTTGTAGATGGGTGTTTTAATGAAACAAAATTAGCTTTCGCGTTTCCTGCCCTTCTGAGGTTACACTTTAACACAGCTCAACACGTCATGAAAGCGTTTTTTTAACAGAAATAAATAGCGTGCACCGACTAATTAGATCCAGAAATTCTTTCAAGTCACTCAAATCGCGTGCAATTTTGACGTATTTAAAAATTTCTTTAGCCATTCAGAGATAAATTTAATCCCATCTAAAAATAATCATTCAAAAAAGAAATGATTCTAGTTAAATTATATTTTAAATCAATCCTTATTTCTTGTGTTGCTTTATCTAAAACTAGCGACTCACCCGGCTTCGCACGGGTTCAATGCTGAATGTTTGTTATCGACATCGCATAACCTCTAAAATTATCAGTGTTTCTCTACTATATTATGAATGAATCACTCTATCTATTAAATAAAACCGCATCAGAATCCATTGCGTATTTTAAAGATCTAAGTATAGATAGGGACAGACAGACAGCGGAACGACTTTTTTTTATACTATTATTATCTAAAAAGATTTTGAGAAGCTTAAAGGTTGTAAATTTTCGATTTACAAAGATAATTGAACATCTATTGATATACGATATAAGACTAAGAAACCTTGTAGAAAAAGCAGTTATGTGATAATAATATAGTAGGCAAGGGTTCAATTAAATGCACAGAGGTTTAAGCCTCTGATCTTTATTAAAACAATTTCGCTAATTATCTGCTAAAAAAGTATACAACAGCGAGTATATATAAGTATAACAGGTTTGTTGTAGCAATTGTTTATGTACAGTTCTCGCTAATATTTTACTAGTTTTAACAAACTTTGTGTCAAGAACACAAATTATAATATTATGTACACTCATTCTCAAAAAAATGAAAATCGTTAAACATTCTGATTCAGCAATTAATTAACTATAGTTTGTGCGTATTAAGTTTTGTGTGTTTGTGAATTGGTAATTTCCCAAAACCACCAAGTTTCTTAAAATTATTAAAACGTGTTTGTATAACTTGCTTTTTGATAAATTATAAATGTATTAAATTAAAGCCTCCTAGTTTGTTTTACCACTGTCGTAAACCCCATTGTATTTATTACGAAAACTATGCAAAACCTTTTATTAACTCCTTCAACTTAAAGGCAACAAGTTAAGACATGTTGGCTCCATTCAAGAGTTGCTTATTGTGATAAGTAATATCCCTCAAGTGGCACACCTACACACAAAAACTGGACATAACTTTTGACAGAAAAGTTAAAGAACACAAACCATGTATACATGTTGTCCTATTATTATTCGATACTTATATGCAGCTGACATATTTATTTCATTTAATTTAAGATTGAATTTAATTTTAACATATCTCATACAGCTAATCGCAGCTCTATCACGACACGAACGTCACCGCCGAGAAAAAAGATGGACGGCGACAGAGCGGCCATATTTTTCCGCCGATGTGGAAACCTCAAATTCGCAGTGTCACGGACCGCTAGCACCGAGGCGCGGGCGGCGGAGCGTGGAGACGGGGCAAAAACACTCCTATTCACTCCGCAATAATGGGGCACCGGCGGAGAAACTAACCGCGCTCCGATGGTTCCGGAGCGGTTCGGTACGAACATAAAATCCATGAAACGATTACAAAAGACGGGGTAATTGTAGATGGGGAAGCGGATATGGCTAATCGCGATAAAGTATCAGAATTAGACCGGGATCGGGATTCGGTTAACGTCAGCTTTGTTAAGCCTTAACAAGTAGCTGTTGGAATGCCCCTTCGGAATATTAAATTCAAGTGTAATCATTTTATAGATACCACATAGTTATGCGATGAGCTCGTGGAATGAGGATGGAAAACAGATGTAGGAAGGCCGTAGCGTGAAATTAGCGATAGCATATCAAGGGAGAAAAACGTGCTAGCATTTACTAAAGCACTGTATTTAGACTATGTTACTGATAGATAGATTCCTAAAATAGTATGGAAGAATATCTAAAAATACAGATGAAGAATCTGGCAAGCAAAGAAATTCTCGCGGGTTGTATTAGGTCGAACCGATGTTTAATTATTAACTTCGAAAGTTGCAAAAGTTATAACAACTGGTACATCTGGTATGGTGCGTCGATTGGACAGGTTTTCGACACGGTGCCGTTTTACAATTTATTCAAAATCGCTTAGAAGCGTCCGATGGATGGGTCAATTCCGTTTAAACGGTAAAGTATTTCACACTAGCATTTTATGAGCTGGAACTGATGGTTAAGCGAAATTTGATGAGGCTTTCGCAATACCAACAGGCTATATTTTCCTGGTGTAAGCTATTACAGCAAAGGGCAATTCGGTACAATCAATCAACTTTGTAGAAAATGGTGATTGCTCCGAACATTTTATGGATCTTGCCTTTGCATAGTACGTTTTTGAAAGTAATTTCCCGTCAAACTACGATGCTGTGACTTATTCAGCGTTTTATGACAGAAAAGTAAGCAATACTCGATGTTAAGTCTTATTAGAACAATATTGGAGTTTGATTTCACAATAATTTTTAACACTTCTCAAGCAAATGCCACGCGGCGTCTTTAATACTTTTCCAACCATTTCGTCGCTTGACGATTCCATAGCGAAATACAAAAGAACAATGACCCAGATCCGCTAAAGATAACCATCGACGTGACGCATGTGTGGAATCGATAACAGTACGTGCACACGCAACCGCGTTATCGAACGGGCCAATATTTACCCGAGCAACAGCGGAACGCGAATCGCGCCGTACGAAGGTGAGCTCCGCGGCGCCGGAGCCCCTCGCCTGAAGGGTCCTAACGGCATTGTAAGAAAAGGGAATGGAGCGAAGCAAAAAACGCTCGCAATACCCACCCATTCAACTAGCAGCTGCTCCGGATCGCCGTGGCAGATGCGCGTGAGCAACTGGCGTACCGACTACCGCCATCGATCGGGCTAAGGCGATCGTTCCGTGCAAGACTTACCCGCAACTGAGGGTCGTGGGGAAAGCGGCTGCGGCTGCGGCGGCGCACTCACAAACAGCACACGTGCACGGGCGCGCACCTGTCGCGTACTGGCGGGCCACCGCCGCGGGCGTGCACCTTTATCTGCGGGCGAGGCGCGCGCGCAGGCCGACGCGCCGAGGTGGACTGACTGCCGGCGCGGTACCTGCGCCCACCTGCCCCCTCCCCGCCCCACCAGGAACCGGACGGTGCTCCAAAACAAAACGGTCAACAAAGGACGTGCCACGAATGTTAGCCACCGTACGCGGCTGGACCGGGCAGGCGGCTGCGCTGCCGACCGTCCCGCACCTGATCCAGGCGGAGTCCGGAATGATGGTTGACGGGCTCTAACACACACACACACATAATGGGTCGTCTACACTGCGCTGACAATGACCACTGTCCGATCGTCCCCGGCGCGGATATCGATGACGCCGCGCCGCGATCGGCCGCCATTGTTGTGATGCACAAAGCGATTGTTGACACAGGAGGCGACAATTCGTCGTTTGCTGAATGCGCCCAACTGGAAAGGATGATTGCTCAACTAATGTCGGCGAAAGGCCCGTAAACAAACAACGTTCGGCTCTCGTGTGTCGCCCGTCGATACTGTTTTTCGTTTGGACATTATTTAGCAACAGATCGAAGACGTGTGTTTTACCTGTGCACGTACGTTATCAGCTTATATCGCTCACTGATATAAGCGTGGATCATTCGAGTGTATCGTATTCAGTATATAGTAAAGTCAATCCGTTTTATAAACGCCTGCTTTATTTAACCTAGAAAATATGACGTTAACAATAATTTTCAAGGTGGATGTGGAAATCATTTTCAATAAATGTGTTAACCACGAAGACATAATTTAATATTTGGATAAATGATCTAACTCGCTCTCACGACTTTGACTGTAGACATAAAGTTCCCAACTTTCCCCACGTTATTTTCTACATGGGCGATGCATTTAACATAAATTTTTAGATGACATTATAATACGTAAATGACTTCCGTATTTTTCATGCCGTAAACAGATCAAATCAAATCAAATCAAATATCTTTATTCAATATAAAAGCATTACACTTACTTATTGTTTTTTTTTTTTTTTTTGAGTTTAAGTAAAAACATTACCCTCACTTTAAAATTATCCTGTGTTGTAAGGACGTTTTACAGGACAAACACCCAGATGCGAAACAACCATCTGTGGGTCGCAGAAATAGTTGTCCCGTGTGAGAATCGAATCCACGACACCCGACGCCGAAGCCAATTACCTTGGCAACTGCACCACGGAGTCATTGATTGTCAAAAAACACTACTACTGGTTCGGAAAGAAAGCCACTGACCTGAGAAGAACCGGCGAAAGAAACTCAGGGGGACATTAGTACGCTAAATGTCAGTTAATTATTAGTTAGTTCAAGAACGTCATAGATATATTACTAGAAAAAGGAAATCTGAGTACAAGGAAAGATAGACTGTATTAAGAATCAGTAAATTAGTAGTAATCTAAATGAGGTTTGATTTACAATAATATTTTTAGTTATTAATTTTCTTTAAGATTTTATAACTCTTAAAAAAACTTAGCGTATTAACCGGTGGTTTGAGTTATCTCGTGTTGAAAACGTTGTATTTATTAAAAAATTAGAATCACGCGATTCGACATCAACCAAACAGATAACCAGATTGGCACTTAGTATTAATAATAATAATGTGTGTGCATTTAATATAAATAATGTGTTTCTTTTAAGAATACCATTAAATTAGGATGTGGGATGTCTTGAATTCGATTAATTAAAATACACTTAATATTTTAACTAAGCGAATCCACGTCGATAAACCTAATTAGCATTAAGGAACACGGGATTATCGGCTCTTGATAAGGCATTAAGTTTCAATCTTAACTCCGCCTCAATATCCGAGCTACCGTGGATTTAATTAAGGAACTATTCACAGAGTGGTTTCCCACATTTGCCGATCCGAATCTATTTGCGACGGTTCCATATTGAGTTGTTTGGGAAAATTACAGGCGTACCATCCGGGCGTTTGCAACAAGCTCAAATGGAACCAACTTATCTGCGACCACGACGACACGAAAGTGTGTCGCCTATGTACTACAGACAATACAGTTAACATGTCGATTTTTTGAAATTATACTTCTTTTTGAGTGTTAGGCAAAACATCAATGTGTATTTGACGTGTGACTAAGTTGCGCGCGCAATTGTAACATATAATTTTGATTATTTTTACTGAGACTATTTTATATTATTTTTGTAGTATTTATTTTCGTCTATGAACGTTTGCTTTGTTAATAACTGAATACAAAAAAAAGTTGTTAATAATGCCAAATAACTATAAAGCCCCCGACGCCCAAGCCAATAGCTGAACAACGGGAAATACTGCTGGCGACAAAGGATTGCCTAAAGCATTTGAGTGCGACGGAAAACTTGCAAAATGATCATTGCTTATGTAATTTTCTAATGTTCTGCCAACAGTCAATAAAGCTTCCTCTCAACTCTAGTGTGAGGCACACGCTGAATCGAAACTCGAATCAAAACCTGTGTAACTAAAAAAAAAGGATAACTTAAATCGAACAACTTATAAGGTGTAATCGTCAATACAAATATATCAATAGTAGAATTATCGCCGTTAACCTGGTAGCAACTGATAACAAAGGTGCAAAAATATTTGCACCTGCGCAGTCATAGAATTGGAAGTAACGTGAGAAAAACAATTTCTCTATTGAACTTAATGCCTTGGGTTATTTTTTATGTGAAGTGTGTGCCAAACGAGCAGGTCGTTCACCTGATGTTAAGTGAATACCGCCACCGATGGACATCAGCTATACCCGAGGGTTGCAAATGTGTTGACAGCCTTTTGAATTTTGGGCTCCGGCTACCACACTCACCAGACGAAACGCGAAAGTCATTATACATCCACTTGACGCCGGTCTTCTGTGATCTCGTGGTACCTATCCGGACGAGCCTGCCCATTCGTGCAACAGCCGAGGCTGCTGCGTGGCTCTACCACAGTTGAAAATGGTAATGGAACAGATGAAAATGGGTAAATGGGAAAATATTTTCTGTTCTTTTAACTCGATAAGTACAACAATTCAGTCTCTTAAAATTAAGCGGGTTGTCTAATGATGATCGTAACGATACGGTTCATTAGATTGTTTTTATAAATTTATCCAAGAGTTATTGAATATATTAGATATATTGTCAAGTAAATTTAAAAGTTTTTATTTAAATAATTTATTAGAGGAACCATTGTGCAAACAATTTGTTGCACAACCATTGTGCATACAAAACTTTATTATATACGTAACGTCATGTTTGTTTGTATTTCTTCATTTCGCCGTAATGACCAAGGATTTAAATTAAAATTGAAATGGAGGTACTTTTAATAAATGATAGCATGAAGCCACGTAAACGATACCACAAGCAAAAAAACTAGTAAGTCATAAAGCAAACCATTTAGTGTAATACGTATAAATGATGATTTGCCCCAGCTATAATACAAAATCAATTAATATCTGTCCAAACAAAACTAAATATAACACGAAGCAGATAAAAGTAGAAATTAATTTAATTGCGGTCATAACTTTAATTCTTACATTATACTAACAATAAGAGGATAATTAATGGTAAAATTCGTCGGAACATCTCTCCCGTGATGAGAGAACTTGCGTAAAATTAAAACGGCCGCCTCATCGCCGTCTACCTCGTCCGATGACAGCGCTGTAGAATAGTTACGTTCATACCTACTCCGAAAGACTAGAAACGACAAAGCTTTCATCGTTTCATCCAAAGGCTGATCACTGCGTCTCGCTGCACTGAAACAATAACGGACAAATCCGATTCGAAATTCGGTCTCGTCGTAATTTTCGGACGAAACGAAAGAAGCCTGGTGATGTTTCGTTTTTCGGAGTCTATAATAGGATCTCCTAAGGAAGCCGTATCGCTGCCACTTCTCCCGCCGGATGCGCAATGTCCGTGGCTGGTCGTAAAAACCCCTTGGCTCTGTTACTGATCGCCATTCGTCCTTATCGGCATATAAAACCGAATTAGATTTCAGCCTCATTTAATTATTTCCCGTTCTCTTAACCACAGTTCAAGCTCGAAAAGGATATCAAATGAAACCAAAGATAACCATGGATGCAAATAACCTATCATCTTGAGAAAAAGAATTGGAAAAATTTAAAGTTTCCTTTCCCTCTTTATTTTTAAATTTAAATTTCTTTTTTCTGGGACTTATATAAATAATTATGGTAGATGTCAAGTCAGTAGTCCCGTTCACATTAGGACATCTAATGTCTTAGTCCATACCGTGACCACTGCTGCCCACTGAATAGCAAAAAAAGTGTCTGATAAAACTAGATTAAGTCGGCTAGAAAAATCCGACCGTTACTGCAAAGGTACGTCCAAACCTTTGAAATAAATGTTTAAGAAACAACGATGGATAATTATTAAATCACAGCATTAAACACCGGAAGCTATCATACAGATAGAATACTAACTACTCGTACATGTTATAAGACGCTTCAGATATAATTTTGTGTTAAGAATATGATTCGACAAAGGAGATACTGCGAAGTTATCGGAAATATCTTTTATCTATGGAAGTGTCAAACGCTCGCACGCTTAAAGGCGCTTTCTTCGGAAAACATCATTTTCCCGGGACTTATATAAATAATTATGGTAGATGCCTCAAGACGGTATCCCCGTTTAAATTAGAGCATCTAATGTCTTAGTCCGTCCATGACCACTGCTGTCTGATGCAAAGCAGTCGAAGCGTCAGGAACAAAAAATCGATTAAGCCAACTAAAAAATATTCGTTCAATATTCCTTTTGTTACTGCAAAGATAATTCTTTTATCATTTATTTTGTATTTAATGGTGGTTTCTGTACTCAAGGTAAATGAGAAATTAACTATGTAGATAAACAGACAGAAACTTTTCGTAACGCTCCCGAAATATCCAGATTTTAAAGACAATCCTGTTTTTCCCTCGCCCTTGATCAAAAAAAGATACTACAAAGATACTATTAATAATTTTTTACTGTTCAGTGAATAATATTGAACTTATTCAGTTTCAAACAGTACAAATTACATATACGGCACCTGTGCAGTAATCGAGGACTTTTTAATTTTCGCTTCTTTATACATGGGTTTGTTTCATAAAGAAGACTAATTTCTTATTTTTATGCTCAAAATTGTAAATCGAGCAGGTAAGTGAAGACCACCGCCCATGGGCATCTTACTTACAACACTTGACAGCGTTGAGAACTTTTAACAAAGTGGGCACTGCGTACCTCACTCACCAGACGAAACGCTAAAGTATAATACGTTTACGCTGATCTTCTGTGAGGCCTTGGTACTTACCCGGACCAGCCTGCTCATTCGTGCAACAGTAGAAGCTGGTGCCTGGCTCTACCTACCATTTTCTTTTCTTTTATCATTCTCGACGATACTATGACAGAGAAATGAGAAACACGGCCTATGTGCACAGAGAGGTAGAAAATATACGCCATATTTCGGAAATCAAAGAAACTTATTTCGTCTACCAAACTATAGATTAC